GTTAGCCAGGATGGTCTCGATCTCCTGACCTCGTGATCCGCCCGTCTCGGCCTCCCAAAGTGCCGGGATTACAGGCTTGAGCCACCACGCCCGGCCAGGGCTGTCTTTCAACACTGAGCGAGTGCCCTGCAGTGGGGGCCAGGGACCACAGGAGCCTCTCCAGGGGACACCCAGGCCCCACAAGAAGTGCTCCTCCAGGCGACAGCCCACGGGAAGTGCTTCCCCAGGTGACACTGTATTCCAGAGGGCCTGAGGGGGTCTGGCCAGTGCTCCCAGATGGGTCTGTGGATTTGGGACAGAGATGCTTCCCAGGGCTCACCGTTGGGCTATCAGACCCTGGGGACACCCCCAGGTCCCCTGTAAACCTGCTGGCCTCCCCTGGTCCCTCTCGTCCCATGTCAACTCCTTCAGAGCACCAACTAGCCTGTGGACAGCCCCAGGACACTCCAGCTCCCGCCCTGCCGGTGGACATCGGGCAGCCCCAGGTTCTGGGGTCCCCACCCCCACACTCTTACTAGTGGTTTACACTTACACTTACTAGTGGTTTACACTTACTAGTAAACCACTAGTAAGCACCTTCTGTATGCTGGCTCGGCTCCTAGCACTAGGGCTGGTGCAGACATACACGGTGCATCAAGTCTAGGATACAGAGGAGCCAGCTGGCCAGCGACAAGCATCCACGAAAGGATAGAATCCTCTCAGGGAGAGCACGGCTGTGAGAAAAACAGCAGCAGTGAAGCCCAGGACAGGACCCACGTCAGAGCCGCTGCCAAGGACCCTGGGAAGTCACTGGGGAGGACCCGCCCCCACGGAGGGCCATGGCGTCCCTGGGGAGGAGGACCCGCCCCCACATAGAGCCACGGCGTCCCTGGGGAGAAGGACCTTGGCTGTCCCTCCAGTAAGGACAGATGCCAGGGACACAGCCATGGTGCTGCCGGCCACGCCCTCCCCGGCTGGGAGCCCTCCCCATGACACAAGCACCACCCCCACCAGTCTGAGCTGGAGGCCCTGAGAGGCCCAGCAGCGTTTCCAGGCCCCCTGCCCATGAGGGCTGATCCTGTCACTCCAACTCCACTGTTTCCGGCTCCAGGAAGCCTCCTTGTCTCCCCAAGACCCAGCTCCTGCCATGTGCTCTCTGCAGAGCCACCACTCAAGGCCCAGAGCCCTGCTGTGAGCGGCCTGCTCAAGCCCGACAGCCCGTGGTCTCAAGAGTTCCTGCTCATCCACCCAGGATCCGTCAGGGCTGCCCGTCCCAGGCAGCTGTGGATCCAATCCCAGTCCCACTGAGCTCTGAGGGTCTAAGCCTGGACAAATCAAAGGCTGCAGCCGAGAGAACGACTGTTCACAGCGCTGGATCAAAAGTAGGAACAAATCAAGGTGTTACCTTTCACAGTAACTATGAAACCTGCAAGGGCAGCCTGCCATGCAGGGCACCGCTGAGCTAGGATTTGTCTTTCTAATGGGCAAAGAGTCAGAGGAGACAGGCAAAGGGCAGATATGAGAAGGCACAACCGAGTGGTGCCCTCAGGGCACAGATGCTCCCCCAGGCCCGCTCCACACCTCTCTCCATCACCAGTGTTCACAGCTGGCCAGAAGGATGCATGTGTCAAGGGCAAATTGTTTACATTTACCACATTTTCTGTAAACCTGCTTTAGTGTTACTTTGTTTTCAAAAAAATATAAAGATTCCTGCCGGCCCCTCCTCCCGTCCACAGACCCATCCTCCAGCTCCCTCCCGGCCCCGGCCCCACCCAGCACAAGGCAGTGAGTTTCCTGTCCCGTTTGACCCGCACCAGAACGTCCATCTGTCCTGCCCCCTGCTTAGCCCCAGGCAGGGCTCACAAGCGCTGCTGAGTGAACATTCTAGAGAACAGACAGCACAGGAGTGTGTGCCCACACCGGGCAGGAGAGGCCTCCGACGTCTCCGGCTCCAGGCGCAGCCCCTGTGCCCACAAACCCCCAGCCAGCGCTGCAGCCACGCTCACTGCAGAGAACGGAGGCCATTCCCAGGAAGCTCTGGGAGGGCTGTCCCAGGACTCTACTCCTGAGGTGCGAGCCAGCGCTCTGCCTGCTGCCCTGAGACAGTGGGAAAGGTACCCAGGCCTGGGATAGCCATGCGGCTGGCCCCTCTCCTGGCCACTCCGGGGCTTTCCAGGGTGAGGCCGGCCCTGTGGGCTGCGCCTGGCAGGTTTCAGAGGCCCCACAGCAATGCCACAGCACTGCCCTGCCCTGCCCAGCTGCTGAGAGAGGCATGACCAAGGAGGCCCAGGCAGGGGCCCTTGCCAGCCCCACCGCTGCACCTGACACCCCACTCTGCCCAGTGGCTCAGTCCCTCCACATACACCTGAGGGGTTGGTGGTACAGCTCAGAGACCGTACAGCGTCCCGTCCAAGGCCACCATGACAGGCAGCAGCGTAGCCACCCCCGCTCCTGTGAGGATCGGAGTCCCCCTTGGGGCAGACCACGGGTGGGGGTGGGGCCGGGACAGGAGTCCAGGCCAGATGGGGGGCAGTCCCCAGGGACTGAGGGACAGTGCGTGCCCTGAGCAGCCCCAGGGTCCTCATTTGTAAACTGGGCAACGGCCCCACCCCCATGGGTGGCGCCAACCACCACACCAAGGTGCCTGGGCTCCACGGAAGAAAGGCCCAGAAGGTTCGCACCGGGAAGTGACATGAGCTCTGGGTGGGGACCCTGCACGGAGCCAGGGAGACCAGCAGCAGCCACGCGCTCACCCACTTCGTCGTGTTCTCCGCAGTGAGGCTATGCCAGGCACTCTGCTAAGTGGTGGGTCAGGCCCTGCTTATCTTCTTGTTTGTCTGTTTTTGAGACGGAGACTCACTATGTTGCTCAGGCTGGAGTGCAATGGCACGATCTTGGCTCACTGCAACCTCTGCCTCCCAGGTTCAAGCAATTCTCCTGCCTCAGCCTCCTGAGTAGCTGGGATTACAGGTCACCATGTGTAGCTAATTTTTTTGTGTTTTCAGTAGAGATGGGATTTCACCACGTGGCCAGGCTGGTGTCGATCTCCTGACCTCAGGTGATCCGCCCACCTCAGCCTCCCAGAGTGCTGGGATGACAGGTGTGAGCCACCACCGCACTGGGCCTGGGCCCTGATTATCTAATCCACACACACAGGACCCCACGTGCTGGCCGCAGTGACCACCCCAGTGTGGAATGAAGACACAGACAAGAGAGGCCTGGAAAGGCTTCAGGAGCTGTGTCCCCAGCACCACCCACCACCCAGCCCAGCTCTGGGGTGCCAGCCGGGCCGCCTCAGGCCACTGTCCCAGCTGCAGGAACCCCTGCTAGGCTGAGGCAGTGCAGGCCCTGAACCCTCCCACAGGTCTGTAGTGCACACCGGGGTCAGCACACGTGGCACCACACAGGGGCCCTCCAGGAAAGCGCGGTGGGGGCCCTCCCTGCGCAAGGCCACTGCCCTGCAGTGACTTCCAGTACCCCCAGTAGTGGCTAGGGCCCCAGACCTCCCTGCTCCCCTCCCGGGAGGACCACCAGGGCTGGGCGCAGGCTTCTGTGACACTGCTAGACAGATTCTCCTGTAGCAATTCTATGCGACTGCTTCTGGCTGTCTTAACGTCATTACTATACAGCACCATCAACATTCCTAACTACACTACAATGACGCAAACAGATAAAATAATTCTACCCCAGCGCTGCTGCCCCCTCTGGGGGACGGGGCTGCCTGTTCCTGCCCAGGCTTGGCCTACCCCCTGCAGCCAGGTGGCCACGCCCTGCTCCTGAAACCACAGCAGGGGCCTCTCCCCTCCTTGTCACCAGGCAGGAGGCTCTGGAGAACCGCCTACCCAAGACCTCACCTCCCTGGCAGGCCCCTCTGCTTCCCACCCAGAGTGATGACCACGTTCCCCCCCGGCAAAGCCAGGCCTGGAACCCCCAGGGATCTTCTCGGATGGGACGGAAGCTGCTCTCCATGGGGAGGGAGTCCCCGGGGATCTTCTCGGATGGGTCGGAAGCTGCTCTCCACTAGGGGCAGGAGGCTGAGGAAGGATGCAGCTGCTTGGCTCCCAGAACCTTGTTGGCTCACACCTTCGTCAGGTCTGTCTCTGTCATTCCAAGAGCTCAGGCCCAAAGCCCAGAGCCTCTGCCTCTCAACTGTGTTCAGTCTGGGTGCAAACCCCACAGCTCTCTCTGCAGAGCACCTGAGCGTCCGCCCAGCGCCCAGGTGGCACGG